CCCCTTGCTGCTGCTGCTGCTTCTTTTCCTTCTTCTCAGCCCAAGCCTTGCAGCTGCTAGGACAGCAGACGAGACTGTCATAGCAGTTTGCTATGGATTGGCAGAAGCTAAGGAGTGGCCTTTACTTCCTTGGGTCTGTGAACCAGCTTTCCATTGTGAATCTGAGTAGTAAGAAATCCCTCAACAATGCAGTTGTGTCTGTACATAGTCAGTATTCCAAATAGCCCATCAGCTTCAGTCTTACTTAATTTTTGAATGCTGAGATCAATGTACCACCTTTGCTCTGTACATAAATCAGTGATGGATTAAAAATGGCTGCAAATATATTGCCATACTTCACAGAGTGAGGTAGATTTCATTTCTCCTGCCTTGGGCTGTCCCTAGGAACTATCCTGATCAACAGAATGCAACGAAAGGGCTGTTGAGTTCACTGGGTCTTAAGAGATCTTTAATTTCTTATTTTGCTCTTTGGAGCACTCTGTCTTGGAAGCTAGCCACGTGAGAGTGTCCTGCTGTTCAGAGGCCATGTTTGGTGCATGTAGAGAGAGAGAGAGAGAGCAGTGGGTGCAAGTGGATAACCTTGTGTCTGAAACATTTAGGACCTTCCCAATTTTTCCAATTTTGGAGAAAATAGAAACAAAGGAGTACAGTTACGTTTTTGAAAAATTTAATCGTTATTTACAGTTAAAAATATATGCAAACAAATATGTTTACACAGTCCATAATTTTAGAGAAAAATCAGTAGGCTTTTATATGTTATTGCAAAAAATTACAATGATTTAACTTAAGCACTAAGGTAAGGATAAAATTAAATGATCCCCATCAGATTTTTTGACGCCTTATCTAGCATTCCATATACCTTTTATTTATAGGCCTTAAAGGATTATAAACATGTGACACACAGTCATCAAGTCTAATATAAATTGCCTCATGATATAAACTGTCCCATGTAAGTTATGCCCTTTGTGAGGATGAACAAAGAAAAGTCTTATTTAGCCCTCAGCTTATGGCATAGTTTCTATGCTGGTAGTTCTTTCCATCTTCTGGAGTACCCCTATTTTATTACCATGTGGGATTTTTTTTCAGCTTAAAATCTAAGCAGACTGTTTACTAACTGTACCTAGGATTCACATCATTGCCCCTAGAGCCTACACGCACTTGAGAACCATACATTATTTCCCTAAGAAGCGAGGTTAGTTGTCCTCACCCTTGGTGCCTCCCTCTGATGACATCCAGCATAAGACCACTTGGCAGGGGTGATACTCAACTCAGCCCATGACTTTGGCCAAATTCTACTTGACTTAGCTCATTGTGAATAACACCCCTTAGGCCACTTCTAATCCCCCCAATGCAAAAATGGAAAATTGGAGGGAAGAATTTGAGTTATAAGACAAAGTTTTCCCTGATGGAACCAACCCAATATCACCCCAAATAGAGACATTGATAAAATTCCCTTATTACACAATTCGCAGTCTCTTTAAGGAAGCGATAATCAATTAAACTATGGAATTATTGAAATGTACATTTTACTAATTATAAGCCTTGCAACTATATAACTGTACAAAAGTTTGATACAATAATTATGAAGTTTATTTAAGTGGTGATTGTCCCAAGTTCTATAGTTTCTCATTCTTTTTTCTCTTTAGTGAAAGTGAATGAGGAAAGTTCTGATGTTTAGCTCTTTAAAGTAAGATGCATGTATCATCTTGTGAGACAATGTTCCTCTGGAGATCCTGGATTTCGTTGTGAAGTCTTCTGCGTTCATCTTCGATTTCCCTATTGAGATTTACGGTCTGTTCCTAAAGAGTGATAAGTAAAACAATTGAGTTTAGCAGGCGCTCATGTCCAGATCACTTGAGGGGAAAAAGCCAAAATCATTGATTTTTCTTTGTTTATTTTAATCCATCAGTAAATAACCAAAGACAGTCCCTGAATTCTTTCCCATTCTTGGTCTCCTATTGTCTAATCCCTCTCCCATACCTCTCTCTCTAGTTCCAGGAACATCATCTCCCGATCCCTGAAATATTGGTGTCCCAAGAAATATACCCTGAGGCCCCCTCCTCCTTCTCCCCTTATTTTATACATCCTCCTCAGCTGATCTTTGTCACACCTCAACTTTAATTCTCATCTATACAGAGAGGAATGTCAGCTCTAGCTTGCAGAGGAGGGTGTGTAGGTGTGTAGGAGGGTGTGTAGGTGATCTCTACAATCACGCGAGGAGTCTGAGTCTCTGATGAGGCAATTTTTTCTAGGTCTTCACAGTTATGGGGCAGAAGTACAAGGAGAGCGAGAGGACCAAGAGCCTCGGGTTGACTATACCGCCCTTCAGTGCAGAGCTGTAATCTCAAAAGGTCTTGGAGCTTGTGCCTGGGAAACTGGGACCTGCTGGTCGACGGGCCACACTGGGGAAGTGTTGTCTCAGAAGAGTATTCACCTAAGATTTTTCCACCAGGTTTGCAGAAACAAACCATTGCAGATCCTCCTCTCTGGGAAGGCAGTTTAGGTAACTTGCTGAGTCGATATTGACATTGTGTTCTCTCTCTTTGGAACTTCGTTTTTCTCATTGCAGAAATAGGGACCTAATACTTGTGCTTCCCAATGAACAGGATAGGTGAGAGCATGAATGCAAAGTGCTTTGTATAGTGCGAAATAAATAGGAGCTACTGCTTTGTGAGCAATGATAATAGTAAAGGACTGAATGAAACAGACTGCAAGTAAAGGCCTTCAGAACCAGTGATGATTAAGGCAAGGACAGGGCATAGACACAAAAAGATGAATTAATTTAATAAGGTAATCACAACCAAAGAAGACCGTCTAGAGCAATGACCAAGATACCAACAGCAACAAAAACAAACAAGTGCTAATTACCAGGGGTTAGAAAGCTCCTGGGCGTTTCACACATATTAGTGCTTATTCTGGGCCATGCACAGTTCAAAACGCAAATGTTCTCACTTAATTATCAAAATAACCCTATCAAGTGGGTATTATTACTGTCTCTGTTTTCCACAAGAGGAAACCAAGGCACAGAGAGGATAGATAGCTTACAAGAACCATATATTTAGGAGGTGGGAGCTGGGCTTCATACCCGGGATGTTTAACTCCAGAGTCCTTGTCCTGAGCCATAATACTGTGCTGCCCCTCCCCCTTGTCACTGCTTCCTGCTCTCATCAATACAGGGAGGGGAGATGTGAGAAAACCCTGAGATGCAATAATTGATGAATACCTGGAATTGAAGTTGCAGGACCCTCTGCTGTTGTCTTAACTGGTACTCTTGGAACATTTCCATTTGTCTCACTTGTTCCAGATGGAGTCGCTGCCTTTGCTCCATCGCTTGCTGGTTATACCTTTGAATCGCCTCCAACCTTTGTGCTTCAATCCTTGCAGCCTCTGCTTTCACACGTGCCTCTGAGGAAAAAAGAAAATGACAACACTCTCTAGGATTAAAGGGTTTCTTCCTTCTGCTTCCCACTCTTGTTATTGCTACCACATCGTAAAGAAAATTCCCTGGAACTGTGTTTCCCTTCCAGGAAACCATATTGCAGCTGACTGTATGTGCCCTGTTCACATTTAGGAATCATCTTTGGCATTCTTGCTCCAGTTTACTGATCACAGGTGAACCAGGCGAAATTAAGTAAAATCTGTAGAAATGTCTGTCTTGCCTCTCCTTCGTTTTCGTCTCACCTTCTATCACCTTTTGCCTCACTGTGAGAGCCAGGTCTGTCTGTAGGATGGTATCACTTGTAGACTGTTTGGACTGCAAATATTTCTGCAGAGCTTTCTCAGCCTAGGAACCCCAAAAACATGCAGTTAGAAGTAGGAAACCGTGACAAGGAATGTTACAAGCCTTTATTTCTTTTTTGTCCCAGGATCTTTTCCTTCACGGAAGTGCTCAGCCCCATACTTGGTAAAACTGCCAATCAAGTCTCTTCTGTCACAGGGGTGGGTACAAGCCCTGGGCTGGCCAATCAGAGCATCCAAGGCCACTAGGTGCAAAGAATTTGGGTACAGGTGGGGAAATAACACGCGGATGTGTTAAAGGCGGGTACGGATGCTGGGCAAATATACTCTCTCCTGAGACTGAGGGCACGAAAGACTAGTTATGCCTGGAACTGTTGGTGTCACCCTGCTGCCATGTGGGGTGAGCCTGCCTGAGAATGAAACCAATAGTAAGGAAAACAGAACAAAAAAACTGAAGTGGAGATTGAAAAGAAAGAAGGAAGGGGGGAAATCTATGACATTGTTTCAACTCCTGAACATAGCTATACTTGCAATGACATTTAAATGTCTTGCTTTTAGTTTAAGTGAGCCAAGGAATTACCATTTTTTCTCAAGCTAGCTTCGATTATTGGGATTCTGTGCCATGTAACCAAGACAGTCCCTTCATTACAGTGAATGTTCATGGTTGCAATAAAAGTCTGGTGAGTATGGTGACATACTTCAGTTTAATTCCACAGCTATTAGAGTATAAATACTTCCTTCCTGTCCTCATTGATTTTTGAAAGAAGCCCCTTAACACTTTCCTGCAATTGATAGATAGAACTCAGAATACCTGCATTCCTTTCCTGGGCTGCTGATAGTACCTTGCTTTCAGCTCTTCTGTCTTCTGAATGAAGAGAAAATGTCCTCCTGGCTTTGAATAAATCCCCTGCGTCACCTCATTTTCTAGAGGACCAAATATAGCCTGAAGTAAAGCTGAGCAACGGTTCGATGATGCCTCCATGTTCTGGTTACAAAAGTCATCCTTTCTGGCTTCTAGCAGAGTCTTCAAAGGGATAAGCGGCCATGGAAAAACTGTTAGCAGCACTTCAGCATTCCTAGAAATGGTTCTCAAGAAGAATCTTTATATTTTTTCTAGAAACTGGAGGACTACAAGTAAGACTATATCCTTCCCACCAAAACCTAGAAAAGTTCCAAAGATGATACACTGTAGAAAAATTACTTTGCTTTTGTGTGTGGAATCCCCTAAAGCCTCTTTCTTTTGCTATTTCTGCTTTGGATGTTGTCTTTAGACTACAGATCTCTAGCCTCAAGCCTTAATTTTATTTTTTTTCAACTTTTTTTTTTTTTTTAATTTTTGGGACAGAGAGAGACAGAGCATGAATGGGGGAGGGGCAGAGAGAGAGGGAGACACAGAATCGGAAACAGGCTCCAGGCTCCGAGCCATCAGCCCAGAGCCCGACGCGGGGCTCGAACTCACGGACCGCGAGATCGTGACCTGGCTGAAGTCGGACGCTTAACCGACTGCGCCACCCAGGCGCTCAAGCCTTAATTTTAAATGCAACCTACTATTTGACAACATTTCTGGGGTTACCAGTGAGTAAGGGGAATGCAATACCTGGCTGGAATGATATAGTATGTGCTATTAAACCTGGAGACATAATCTTTTAGTAGGCCCATTTGGCAATTCTGTATGCTTATCTAATAAAAAAAGAAAAGCTAATGAATACCTTATGCATAAAATGTTTTAAGGGAAAAGATGACTCTACATAGGTGTAACGTGGTAAGGTAGGTTGTGTGTATGTGGAAGCTTTAGAATCTGTAGGGCCCAGAGTAGTCACATGTTTGTTTGTTTTCAGAATAACAGTGATAAGTTGATCACAGAAGTGGTAATCATTATTTTTTCAGTCTAGTGAGGATTGCTTTTCATCATTCATTCCCTGTTTGCCTTTCATAGCAATAAAAATCAACTTTGCCTCTTATGGCTCATAAGTCCCATGAACTAGATGGGGGAAGAAGATAATTACCTCTAATTGCTTCTGGAACTTTTGGTTCACATCCTTGAAAGAGTTCTTCATGAAGATTTCTATGGCCTCCCTTTCACAGGCCCCGTGCAGGTCCAGGAGCTCAGAGAGAGTTTCTGTGGGCAGCTGCACCTTCTGTTCCATCTGCTGGTCATAGTGGGCAATGGCCTTTTTCACTGCTGCTGAGTTCTTGATCTGGGCCAAGGCCACAACTGAGTTCTCCATGCAGGCCAGATCCCCACGGCTGATGGCATTAACACAGGTCTGCACTAGGCTCTTCAGATCTTCATAGGGGGAAGAGATGCTTATATTATTTGCAAGAAAGAGGGCATGTGGCACACTGGGTAATTCTGTGCATGTTAATTTCCCAACACATTGCCTGCATTTTCTTAGCATTCTGCACACTGTTCGTGTGGCCCAACTAAGTTCCTTTGGGAAATTATGTGACCAAGAAGCAAGATTGTTCTTTTTAAGATTGAAAAGAAAGTATTCAAAGGGGAAGACTCAAGATGTGTGTGATCATCCACGTTTCATCTTTTTCCCATTGTGGAATGAGAAAACGGTTATATAAAGTTAGGCATTTTCATTTGATTAGAAGGCTATGGGCCTTTTGCCTCTTTACTCTTTCCTTTATTTCCCTCTTCCTCAGGTTTCTATTCTTTTCAGAATTACCTTCAGTCTTTCACTTCAGTATGTAAAGCTGGCATTAGTGTTATCCTGCTCTAGAAAAGCACAAAGTAAGCACATTACATTACGTCTCCTCTACCCTTTGTTGGAACTTTCCTGTTTGTCTCCCTTGTCCTTTGCATACTTTTGTTTGCACTCAACTTCCTTCCAGAGTGCAGTAATAATTTACAGACTTCTGAGACTACAGATTGTAGGAGAAACTGGACCTAGAATTCTGCTTAGATTTCTTTTAGGGTTCTAGACAACCTGGGCCTCTGTTTAATGTTTATGTGAGCTTACTTCATTTCTACAGAGAATATATCCTCATCTTGTGTCTCCCAAAGGCTGTGATATATAATGTGCTCTATTGGTGAAACAAATGATGCCAACCCATGTGGGTTAGTCTAGTTCAATGGTGGACCACTTATGGGGAGAATTTCTTTACCTTGACCTTTTTTTCAGGGTATGTTTCTATTTTGTTCTACTTTGGAGGCATTACTAAAAATGGACTAGAAATATTTTTGGTACCCACTGGAATTTCGTGAAATGCATTTTCAACATTGACAATGGAAGGAGAAACTTTTAACAGTACCCTATTCTTTATGTTGAATTGAAGGAAAAACCTAAAAAGGGTACTCACGGGGTCCATTGACCTTGATGCCTCCTGAAAGAGTCTTAGTCTTGGAACGGTTGAAGATGTAGGAACAGAATGCTGCCACTTGTTGCACAAAATCAGGATCCAGCTCATCATTACGCAGTGTCTCAAGCTGGGCAAACTTCTTCCAGTGAGCAGGAGAGTCGAAGATAAAGCATTTCCTTATTGGAAAGAATTCTTTTATACATAGACGGGGCAAATTGAAATTTTGAAGGCTTTTATCGGTGCCTGGGGAAGAAAAAATAGGATTCATTTAGTATAATATTAACATTTGTGTTAATTTATTCTCTTCAATTAAATGTGCCTTCCACCTGATTATTTATTTCAATACATGTTCACAGAACCTAGGCAAAAAGCTAAAAGGTAACTAATCAGGGAAAGGAAAAGAAAATTTGCTCCAAGAACAGGGGAGTAATACAGTTTAATATTGATGAGTCTATTAGTTCACTATAAATTAATATTTATTTGGTAGTTTAGCCAGGTGACAATGAATTTAACTGCCTGTACACGAGAGGTAATTTCTTGTATTCTCTCTCTCTCTCTTCCCAAAACTGAAGTCCCTGTTACCTTCCTTTAGCTTCAGTGATTTCTCCAGGTATTCATCTGCTGTGATAAGTTGCCCGTCTATTTCTAGGTCTAGGTAGAAATCTCTCAGAGTCCACACTAAGTCTGGGTAGAAGTTAGCAAAGTTAGTTGTATCTTCAACCCCATCAAGATCAGGTGAGGATACTGTCCAGAGCAGATTTGACAGTTCTGTCACATAGCTGGGATGCAGTTAAGGAAAACTCATGGATATAGGACTACATCTAAGCCCATATTTAATTCCAGGTCTCCCTATACTTTTATTTCCCCTTTGGGTCTTAACCAACTCCTCATTTCATTTGTAAATATAAGGACTCTTTTTCTTGTACCTTAACACTTATTATGTTTTCATTTTTGTGTTTGATTCACAAAGACTCACAAACACAACTGGTGAATAGAGTTCTCTCTGGCTTTGGTGCCATCTTGGACCACAAAAGGATACTGCAACAAGTCCATAGCCCTCTGGTCAATTTTGTTCATAGTATTGTATACAAAGGTACTACTCAGTAGTATTGCCAGTGCAAATATCTGGGTATCATTCTTCTTGTCACCCTAGAAGAACAAATTTAAGTCATGTCTCATGGTATTCCCAGATGAACAATCATTAAAAATAGTCCCTTGACCTACAAATGTTAAACAAGACCAAAAAAATGATCGTGAGAAACATATGAACTTTGAATAGTTCTATTCACATTGATAATTTTTATACAGAACTATATATTTTTAATTCATCAGTTCCTTTTATAACTAGTTAGGTATTTGAAAAATGGATAGTCAAAGTTTGTGGAGTAACTAGAATACTTAAAATCAAGATTTACATCAAAAACGAAAAACAAGTATTGGTGAGGATGTGGAGAAAAAGGAACCCTTGTACACTGTTGATGGGAATGCAAACTGGTGCAACTATTGTGGAAAAAAGTATGGAGGTTCCTTAAAAAGTTAAAAAGAGGGGAGCCAGGGTGACTTAGTTGGTTAAGCGTTGGACTTCGGCTCAGGTCATGATCTCACAGTTTGTGAGTTCAAGCCCCGTGTCGGGCTCTGTGCTGACAGCTCAGGGCCTGGAGCCTGCTTCAAATTCTGTGTCTCCCTCTCTCTCTGCTCTTCCCCTGCTCACGCTCTGTCTCTCAAAAATAAATAAACATTAAAAAAAATTTTTTTAAGTTAAAAATAGAGGAATGCCTGGGTGGCTCATTGGTTAAGCGTTTGACTTCGGCTCCAGTCATAATCTCATGGTTTGTGAGTCTGAGCCTCACGTCGGGCTCTGTGCTGACAGCTCAGAGCCTGGAGCCAGCTTAAATTCTGTGTCTCCCTCTCTCTGCCCTTCCCCTGCTCATGCTGCGTCTCTCTGTCTCTATTTCAAAAACAAATAAACATTAAAAAAAAAAAGTTAAAAATAGAATTACCATATGATCTAGTGATTCTATTATTGGGTATTTACCCAAATAATACAAAAGAAACTAATTTGAAAAGATATATGCACCCCATATTTAGTGTGACATTATTTACAGTAGCCAAAATATGGAAGCTCCTCAAGTGTTGATAGATGAATGGATAAGGAATATGTGGAATTTATATACAACGGAACATTACTCATCTGTAAAAAAAGAATGAATTCTTGCCATTTGCAACAACGTGGATCTAGAGGATATAATGCTAAGTGAAGTCAGTCAGAGAAAGACAAGTAATTTCTTAAATAATTTCATAAAGACATATGATTTCACTCATGTGGAATTTAAGAAATAAAACAAAGAAAAAAGAGACAAAAATAAAAACCAGACTCTTAACTATAGAGAACAAACAGAAGGTTATCAGAGGGGAGGTGGGTGGGTGGGTAGATGGATGAAATAGCTGAAGAGGACTAAGAGTACGCTTATAGTGATGAGCACTGAGTAATGTATAGAATTGTTGAATCTCTATATGATACACCTGAAACTAATATAACAGTATACATTAATTATACTGGCATTAAAAAAATCAAGATTTTCAATTGTGTAAAACAAATTTGGCCTGTACACACATGCATGTATCTATTTTATTGACTAGTTATTTATCTTATTGACTAGTTATTACAGTACAATGCACAGTAATTCAGGAATGCCTGGGTGACTCAGTCAGTTGAGTGTCCCAACTCTTGATTTTGGCTCAGATCATGATCTCACAGTTCATGAGTTCGAGCTCCACATCAGGCTTCATGTTGACAGTGTGGCCCCGCTTGGGATTCTCTGTCTTCGTCTGTCTCTGCTCCTCCCCTGTGTGTGCTATCTCTCTCACAATGAATAAATATTTTTTAAAAAAGAATTTTAAAAGCACACACTAATTCATATTACTGATATTATCCAATACTCAAAACAGTGCCATAAGATAGCTTTATAACTACTATCTCCAATTGTTATAGATGAGAAAAACTAAAGCACAAAATGAGGTGACTGTTTTGATTTTGTGATAAATCAAAAGCAAAATGAAAACATAAAAGACTAGGGAAGTTCAAGGGAAAGATTCAGTTATGTGCTAGAGCCAGCTCTTACCAGGCCACAGGGGCTAACTGTATACACCTATTCTGAACCCGCAGTTTGTTGGAATCAGCCATGATGGGAGTATTTAGAAAACTGGCAGGTGCTACCAGTCAAGGCTTCCCCCACCCGCACTCAGTGGGCTGGTTGTTAAATACCAACACAGAAGTGGAAAAAAGTCCATGTGTCTACTGTTCAAATGTTAAGTTGGATAAGACCAAAGAGGAAATAAAAGATTTGGGGGAGTTTTGCTTGTCAAAGTCAGAGAGCAACAAGTGCCAGAACCCTGATTTGAATCCAAGATCCTCTGACCCAGAGCTCACTCCTAATCACTCTTCTCTGCAGGATCAGACTTAGGACAGTGGTTTTATTTGTATCATCTTTTCCGTATTTCAGTTAACTTCCTAACTCCATATTTTAGTGTCTTGTCCCAGTCATGATTCTGGCTTATAAATATATTTTTCTCATCTCAGATTTCCAAGTCTTGACTATTAAAAATAGAAAAGGAAAAAAAGGTATACTCTGTCAAGTAGAAGTACAAATTTAGAAAAACAAAACAAAACATAAAACCTCCCTGTGTAAAGAATGTTCAGAGGTGGGGAGGAATCAAAAGGGATTTCTGTTCCTTACCTTCTCTACATCTCCTAGACCCTCTGTGTCCAGAAGAACTAGGGTGTGGTCTGGCTTCTTGGGATGAGGCATACACCACATCCAGATTCCTTTGGTGTGAGACTGCACTGTAGATCCAATAGAGAAGCCTGCAAGGGGTAGGGAAGAGGTTGTAATAGAGGAGGGGATCTGCAAATTGGAGACCTTCTTGACAACTGAACTTGGGTTTAAGAAATTCAAGATGAGGACACATCAAAAACTATAACCAATATTGATCTGAATTAGAATAGAGGAATGGAAAAATTAAAATATCAAATATCATAGGTTGGAAATTTGATGTTTTTCCTTTTTACAAGAATGTCATGCTGCTAAAATTTTAATAGTTTATAATTGCATATATAGAAATTATTTTATTGGGGCACCTGGATGTCTCAGTTGGTTGAATGTTCAACTCTTGATTTCCACTCAGGTCATGATCTCAGTGTTGTGGGATTGAGCCCCACATTGGGCTCTGTGCTGAGTGTGGAGCCTGCTTAAGATTCTCTCCCTCTCCCTCTCTCCCTCCCCCCTTCCTTTGCCCCTCTCCCCTGTTTGTGCTCTCTCTCTCCCTCTCCCAAAAACTAAAATTTAAAAAACAATAAAAAATTATTTTATTGACATCTTACTCCTTAAGATTGGAAAGTATGCTTTTCCCAAGGCAATACTAAGGGGAAAAAAAGAGGTGATATGTCAGGAAAAGACCTCTGCCTTTTTTTCTCTGAACATAATTAGCCAGCTATGACCCAAACATCAGTTTTCAATATTCCTCCGCGTTCTCTAACTTCCTGTCCTTGCATCACGACGTTCAATGCAGGCAGTGTAGGTGGACAGAAGGGACTCCGCCGGAGCTTTTTGGTGCCACTCACCCTTGTTCTTCCCAGCCAGCTTGTTCATCAGGTAGGATTTGCCTGTGCGGTAGAGGCCCACAATAGCCACCACCACGAGAGGATTCTTGGTGGCTGACAGGATCTCCAAAGCTTCCTGATTAACCACCAGTTGCCCTTCAGTGTTCTCAATGAGGCACACTGGGGCTGGCATGCGGATCTCTGAGGCCATGTTCCCTGGTCTGCAAGGGAAGAGATGAGATGGACTGAAATATCCAGTCTTACTTTCTGAACTTGGTGACGTACTGCTTCCCCAAATGGCCTCAATTTCTGAAGAAAGTTTTGAAAAAAGGACAGCCAAGAGGGTCAGAGTAAAAAAGCTGTAGGCCCTGAGGAGGACTATATTATAGGCTGCCCCATTGGTTCTTAAATGTTTAATGGGCATAAGGAAATCCATTTCCTGAGTTTTACCTACTGACTAGTTTAAATCTGACTCCTTCCCTTTGGTTTCTGGCTTACTTATGTTTCTTAGTTTTTACCTCCGTGAATCCTTAGATTGAATCTTTAGGACCACTCTTTGCTATATTACGCTTGCTTGGCCTTTATCAGCTTGCTTCACTCTCATTTAGGGCTATGTCTAGTCAAACCACATTATGTTAAATCTTGCCATGTCATCATGTAGCACTAACAAATCATAATTGTTTACTTGTAGCTGTACTTATAAGGAATTTTTTTGTATAGCTATAGTAGTGCCTTCAACCAAAACTTCAGTGCATAATTGTCTTATGAATGAGGGAGTAAGTGAAAATACTTCTTAAAGAATACTTGACCATTTATTTTCTAACTTCTAGGCATCAATTCCTCTAACCTGAAGAGTTCCTGCTAAAGCATTTTAGGCTATCTGATACTCAAGCAAATGTTTGCTTTTCTGCTTTGCCTTATAAAGGGCAATTTTCTTCCATTGTAGACATGGTTATTTACTAAAGAAGCTAAAAACCCAACATCTGCTTGGCTTTTTCTTTCACTAAAATCATACAATGAAAAATTATGGATTCCCTTATTATCCAGTGGTAAAACTGCTTTTTAAAAATTATAAAACCCCCTTCTTCCCTCTTCCTTATAGCTAATGCACTGGAAACTATTCAGGTGACAAATAAAAACAAACTGGTTAGGAGCAGATCATAGGTGATCCTTTGCAAATGACATAGCATCATGGACTCGGGAGCCAGGAAATACCCAGGCCAACCTGAACCCAGAGAGGGATTCCATGATTTTACAGACTCATATGCCAAGTCTCTTTCCATTCTGACATATATCCAATACAGTATTAGTACCTTACATTTGTAGATTTCTGATTGCCTGATTTGTATAAAGCAGGGATCATAATCATTTTTAGACTACAAAGATATGGGGAACTGGCAGTGATGATCTACAACAATTATCTAGGAAAACAGAAGGTACACAATCAGTCTGTTTGCAGATGTTGGAGGCTTACAAGCTGTTGTGCTTTGGGATGATGTTGCTCATGGGAGAGGGAGTAGATTTGTCTGAATATTGAGAACCCCTGAGGAATAATTTAGTACTGTGTATTTCTATTAATAGAAGTATTTTACACATTGCTCCCAAATGATATCTGGGTGGCATCTTAATACTTTAGGAGAGCCCAGTCTCCAAAATATCTTTGCAAATTCAATGTGTTCACACCGACATATAAGTATTGTTTTGCCATCCCTAACCCGAACTGTGATGTGTGCTCTGAGATGCATCCTTCTTTTTTTTTTTTTTTCAAAATATGAAATTTATTGTCAAATTGGTTTCCATACAACACCCAGTGCTCATCCCAAAAGGTGCCCTCCTCAATACCCATCACCCACCCTCCCCACCCTCCCGTCAACCCTCAGTTTGTTCTCAGTTTTTAAGAGTCTCTTATGCTTTGGCTGAGATGCATCCTTCTTAATTCTGTTAGAGCCTCATAAACTTTTGTAAATAAAAACAGTGCAAGAATGGATACACACACAAACACACACAAATATACATTTTGGCTTTGAAGTAAGGCAGGCTTGATTTTCAGTACCAGCCCTACAACTGGCGATCTGTATGATGCTGGCATTTCTACTCAACACTCTTAGCCTGTTTGTGAAAAAATGGAAGTAAATAAAATAGTTGTATGTACCAGTATAACTGCTAGCTTAAAAAAGAGAGCTGCAGGAGATGGGGAAAAAGTATAAAGAAGGAAAATGTGAGGAAATATAGGAGAAAAAGTTCAGAAGTACTAAGTGATGAGGTATCTAGAAGAAACCATCTGTTTTCAGCCAAACAAGTCTAGTTGGTTTTGTTTGTAATTGTGGCTTTTTGCTTTTGTGTTGTTTTTGGTTTGAGTTTGGAGGAGGAGGAAAAGCTCTTAGCAAGGAGACAAGCGGAAATCAAACAAGAAGGAGATGCCTGAAGCATGTGCCATGATAAGAAATTCAAAGGTGTGAGTTCTAAGGAGCGATTAAAATTGCCAGACACTATGGATGGGTCAAGTTGGGCAACTGGAATGAAGTGATCCCATAATAGTAGAGGCAATAGAGTAGTAGAAATAGAACCTAGCACAAAAAGCTTTAAGGAATGAGTGTGAGCCAAGAAGTCAAAGTCAATTAATCCAGTACCATTTCTAAAGGAAGAAATCCACCTTCAAAGTACAAGACTATGACTAAAAATGTGCAGCTGTTTTCATTAAACCTCTTCATTGGTCACTCCGAGTTTCAATTTTTTTCTTTTTCCATTTTTAACAATGTAAGCAAGCTGTTTGCATTGCGTCTCATTCATTTCTCTTTCTCACAAAAATAATACAGTCACAATTCTTCAAACATTCAGGCTGCAGCTTGAGGTAACTTAATCAGGTTTTATCAAAAGACAAAGGTAACATAAGTGGCAGTTATGATCTCCATAGATCCTAAGGTGGCAAAGGGAGGAAAACAGTGTTAAGACATTTCAGATTGTCGGTTTAGTCCCCACACATGCCCATGTCTAATTCATCAATAAGCAGACACAGCTGGGGCTTGAGGAACTCTGCCACCTGTCTTACAACACCACAATTTAGTCTTTAATGACATCCAATGGGGCACATCAGGTTTCGGCTGCATATCCTGGATAGAAAGTTTTCAAAACATTCTGACCATTGGCAAATCTTCTCCACCCTTGCCCCAATCTTACCTTAACTGTAAAATTAGTAGCAGAGATACTTTAGAGCAGGTAAGAAAGCTGCTTACATGAAAATGTGCTAGGAGTCCCTTGTTCCTCAGTTTAGCTGTGTTGGTTTCTGATATACTTCTTACCCAGTCCTGGGGATTTCTTACCACCACCCACTCCCCCAGACCTTCAGAGGTCAGGTGATTAGAATATGAAATAAAAACCAAAAGTGGTAAGTCTTCAAAACCTCACTACAGAAACTAAAACCACAAAGCAAGCTCAGTAAGTCGTTTCAACGGTAACTTCCTGAATATTTCTCACTGAACAAGCTGGGTGTATTTGGCCTGAATTCTCAGAAACTGCATGTATTAGTGGAAGAGACTGTTTTGCAAACTTTGAGACTGCAACTTTGAGATTGCGGTCATTTGCAATTTTTTTAATACTCCAAGTCTTGTCCTTAGGGCTGTGAGAAACCATAAGTCCACAGTTACAGTGAATATAACCCCAAAGTATGTATGAATTTTGTGAATATACTATTTTTGTTTGTTTTCAAGGAAGCAGCCATGCTATGCAGCACAGAGAATAAATTGTATAATTTCAATGACAAAAGAAAATTAACCTCCTGAGTTAAGAGATAAATGCTGAAAAATTTTTAACAACTTAGAAAATGATCAGTCATTACTTACTGGGTCAACAGTTTTTTTTTATAACTGCATCTTTCATAAGTCAGGCAAATATTCAAACCAAACACTTTGAATATCTACTGCATACTGCAGTGTTGAAAGACAAGCAAGAAACAAACAAGCAAAAACATCATAATCTCTGTGAGGAAATTTCAGCCTAGATAAATACAATCTGCTACCTCCTCCTTCCCTCTAAATCCTATTCTCTGACTGGATGAATTCCAGTGCCCTATCTTTGAGTTTGGTGATTCTTTCTTGCATTTTGTATTAGTTTTATTTTAATTCCAGTATTGTTAATGGCCAGTGTTATATCAGTTACAGGTGCACAGTATAGTGATACAACAATTGCATACACCACACAGTGCTCATCATGAAAAGTACCTTCCTTAATCCTTTCACCTATTTCACCCACTTGCCACCCACCTCTGCTGAGGTAACCGTCAGTTTGTTCTCTGTAGTCAAGAGTTTCTTGGTTTGTCTTTTTTCTTTTTTCCTTTGCTTGTTTGTTTTGTTTCTTAAATTCCACATATGAGTGAAATCATATGTCTTTCTCTGACTTATTTCGCTTAGCAATATACTTTCTAGATCCATCTATGTTGTTGCAGATGGAAAGATTTCATTCTTTGGTATGGCTGAATAATATTCCATTGTATATATATACACATCCCCTTTATGCATTCATTTATCTATGGATACTTGGGCTGCTTGCATGGTTTGGCTGCTGTAAATAATGCTGCAATAAACATAGGGGTGCGTGTATATCTTTGAATCTGTGTTTTTGTATTTTTTGGGAAAATACCCAGTAGTGCAATTCCTGGATCATAGGGTAGTTCTATTTTTAACTTTCTCTTTTTTTCTTTCTGAGAGAGAGAGCGTGAGAGGTGGGGAGAGGGGCAGAGGGACGGAGGGAGGGAGGGAGAGAGAGAGAGAAAGAGAAAGAGAGAATCTTTAGCAGGTTCCATGCTCAGCACAGAGCCTATTGCAGGGTTTGTTCCCATGACCCTAGGATCATGACCTGAGCTGAAATCAAGAGTTGGACTGAGCCACTCAGGCATAGCTATTTTTAACTTTTTGAGGAACCTCCATACTGTTTTCCACAGTGGTTCCACCTGTTTGAATTCCTACCAACAGTGCACAGGGGTTCCTTTTTCTCCATATCCTTGCCAGTATTTGTTTCTTGTTTTTGATTTTAGCCATTCTGACAGATGTGATATGATATCTCATTCTGGTTTTGATTTGCATGTCCCTGATGATGAGGGATATTGTGCATCTTTTTATGTGTTTATAGGCTATCTGTATGTCTTCTTTGGAAAAAATGTTCATGTTTTCTGCCCATTTTTTTAAATATGTATTTATTTTTGAGAGAGAGAAACAGAGCATAAGCAGTGGAGGGGCAAATAGAGGGGGGAGACACAGAATCCAAAGCAGGCTCCAGGCTCTGCGGTCTGTCAGCACAGATCCTGACATGGGGCTCAAACTCATGAACTGTGAGATCATGACCTGAGCTAAAGTCAGATGTTTAACCAACTGAGTGACCCAGGTGCCCCTCTGCCCAATTTTTAATTGGATTATTTATTTTTTGGGTGTTGAGTTTATAAGTTCTTTATATATTTTAGATACTAACCCTTGATAGGGTATGTCATTTGCAAATAACTTCTCCCATTCCATAGGTTGTCTTTTAGTTTTGTTGATTGTTTCTTTTGCTGCGCACAATCTTTTTACTTTGATGTTATCCTAATAGTATCTTTTGCTTTTGTTTCCCTGGTTTCAGGGGACCTATCTGGAAAAACCTCACTACAGACGTTGCTACTGCCAATGTCAGAGAAATTACTGCCTGTGCTCTCTTCTAGGATTTTTTGGTTTCGGGTCTCACATTTAGGTCTTTAATCCATTTTGAGTTTATTTTTGTGTATGGTTTAAGAAAATAGTCCAGTTTCATTCTTTTGCATGTAGCTGTCCAGTTTTCCCAGCACCATTTACTGAAGAGACTGTCTTTTACCCATTCTTTATTCATTCTTCCTTTGTCTAAGATTAATTGCCCATATAATTGAAGTGTATTTCTGGATTTTCTATTCTGTTCCATTGATGTATGTATCTATTTTTGTGCCAATACCATAGTGTTTTGATCACTATAGCTTAGTAATATAACTTGAAGTCTGGAGTTGTGAAATCTCCAGTTCTGTTTTTCTTTTTCGAGGTTGCTTTGGCTATTTGGGGTCTTTTGTGGTTCTACACAAATTTTAGAATTGTTGTTCTAGTTTTGGGAAGAAGGCTTTTAGTATTTTGATAGGGATTGCATTACATGTGTAGGTTGCTTTGAGTAGTACAGACATTTTAACAATATTTATTCTTCCATCCATGAGCATGGAATGTCATTCCATTTGTGACATCTTCAATTTATTTCATCAATGTTTTATAGTTTCCAGAGTACAGGTTTTTCATCTCTTTGGTTAAGTATATTCCTATATATTTTATTATTTTTAGTGCAGTTGTAAATGGGGTTGTTTTCTTAATTTCACTTTCTACTCCTTCATTATTAGTGCATAGAAATGCAGTGGATTTCTGTATGTTGATTTCGTATCCTACAGTCTTACTGAATTCATTTATCAGTTCTAGCGGTTTTTTGGTGGAGTCTTTAGGGTTTTCAGTAGTATCATGTCATCTGTAAAAAGTGAAAGCTTTACTTCTTCCTCACCAATTTGGATGCCTTTTATTTCTTTTTGTTGTCTGATTGTTGTGGCTAGAACTTCCAGTACTATGTTGATAACAGTGGTGGGCTTGGACACCCATGTCTTTTTCCTGACCTTAGGGGACAAACTCTGTTTTATCCATTGAGTATGATGTTCACTGTGGGTTTCTCATATATGGCCTTTATTCTGTTGAACTATGTTCCTTCAAAATTGCTTTGTTGAGGGCTTTTTATCATGAATGGTGTTGTACTTTGTCAAATGCTTTTTTCTGTATCTATTGAAATTATACAGTTCTTATCCTTTCTCTTATTGATGTGATGTATCACTTTGATTGATTTCCAAATGTTGAAACATCCTTGTGTCCCAGGAATAAATCTCACTTGATTGTGGTGAATGTTGTTTTTTTAATGTATTGCTGGATTTCATTTGCTAGTATTTTGTTGAGTATTTTTACATCTACATTCTTAAAAGATACTGGCCTGTCCTCTTTTTTTGTACTGTCTTTATCTGGTTTTGTTATAAGGGTGATACTGGCCTCATAGAATGAATTTGGGAGTTTTTATTCTTTTTTTTATTTTTTGGAATACTTTGTAAAGGATAGGTAATAACTCGTCTTTAAATGTTTGGTAGAATTCACCCATGAAGCCGTCTGGTCATGGACTTTTGTTTCTTGGGAGTTTTTTGATTACTGATTCAATTTTCTAGCTGGTAATTAGTCTGTTCAAATTTGATTTCCTCCTGTGTCAATTTTGATGGTTTATATGTTTCTAGAAATTTATCCATTCTAGGTTGTCTAATTTGTTGGCAAACAGTTTTCTATAATATCTACTTACAATTGTTCGATTCACTGTGATGTTGGTTGTTCTTTCTCTTTAATTTGTGATTTTGTTTATTTGAGTCCTCTTGTGTTTTTTTTAGTCTAGCTAGAGCTTTATCAGTTTTGTGGGTTTTTTTGATCTTTTCAAAAAATCAGCTCCTGGTTTCATTGATCTTTTGGTTTTTTTTAGTTTCTACATCATTTATTTCTGTTCTGATCTTTATTATTTTCTTCCTTCTGATAATTTTGGGTTTTGTTTTTCTTTTTCTATCCCCTTTTCATGTAAGGGTAGGTTGTTCATTTGAGATTTTCCTTGCTTCTTGATGTAGGTCTGTACTGCTATAACCTTTCTTCTTAGAACTGTTTTTGCCACATCAGAAAGATTTTGGACTGTCGGTCGTGTTTTCATTTTCATTTGTTTCTATATACTTTTTGATTTCTGTGGTTTCTTGTTTGACCCATTCATGGTGCAGTAGCATGTTATTTAACCTCTATGAATTTGTGGTCTTTCCAGATTTTTTCCTATGTTACTTTCTAATTTCATAGCATTGTAGTCAGCAAAGATGCATGGTATGACTTCAATGTTTTTGAACTTGTTGAGACTTGTTTTGTGGCCTAATATGTGATCTAGTCTGAAGAATGTCCCATGTGCACTTGAAAAGAATATGTCTTCTGCTGTTTTAGGATGGAATGTTCTGAATATGTCAATTAAATCTATCTTGTCCAGTGTGTCATTCAAAGATACCATTTCCTTGTTGATTTTTTTGTTAAATGATCTGTCCAGTGATGTGAGTGAGGTGTTAAAGTCTCCTACTATTATTTTATCACTATCAATTATTTCCGTTATGTTTGTTTTTAACTCTTATGTATTTGACTACTTCCAAGTTTGGTCCAT